CACACACACACACACACACACACACACACACACACACACACACACACACACACACACACACGCACGCACGCACGCACACATATATACTAATAGCAGGCCCAGGCAGGAGGAGGACAGAGTGAAGGTACACAGGACCTAAAAAAATGTCACACTTTTGAGCCAAGGCCAATGAGTCTGAGTTTGAAAAAATAATTAATCATATAATTTTTTGATAAAAAATTTAAGCGGGTCCCACAGACCCGAACACCATACAAGGGTTAACAATTTAATTAGAAGTATTCATAACATAAAAATTGATGCAAAAAGTTGCATTTATTTATTTATTCATTCATTTCCTTTTTCTTTCTTTCTTTTTTTTCAGCCAACACATTAATTTTTTCTTTTTTTTGAGAGAGAAAAGCTAAAGATATTCATATAGTCATATACCCCTCTCCATCTTTAATTTTGAGCGAAGAACCAAATAATTTGTAGCAAATAATGAATAACTTCAAGGCAAATAAGATCATTAAATTCTAGCATGAAAAAGCTCTGTAATTAACCCTTGACACAAATGATCATTTTTAATCTTTGGTAGGCTATTGCTAATACAAATCAATGCTAATTACTGGAATCTATAATCATTGACCAAAAAACATTTTAATTTAAGTCTCTAATTTTGTTTTAATAGCAATCAAACCAACAGATTCATAGAGGGGGTGAGATGGTAGGTTTACACCGAGGGTCCGTTTTAGCACCATTTAGTACCCTGATGTGTTCTATGAATAAGTTTGCCTGCTGTGGCCACTATCAAAGACTGCTGGAGACCTTGATCACTGACCGTGAAGGTAAAATGTTCTGAGTAACAGCATACAAGCAATTAGGGACCTCTGGGCTGTTCTGTTGCAAGCAATGCCACAAAGCAATCTGATGTTCTTAAAGCAGAAAATTGAGATTTCTGTGTCTCTTAAAAAACTTTGTATTATGCAGTTTAGGCATCAAACTGTGGGGGAGTGAATGGCTGAAGCAGTGCTTACCTGATGCCATCAAGTAACCTAAATCATTTCAAGGCATCTCATTTTTTCAACTCATTCAGATACTAACTGATTGATAAATGGCCTGAAAATTGCATTCTACGATTGCTCTAAAATGTAGTGTGGCATGTATTTTAACAGCGTGTGAAATAGCATAGCTCTGCATGTTTATTTTAATTATTTAAACATGGTTATTTAGCATTTGTAATCCAATTGTGTGTATAAATAGTCCGTTTTCCAGTTACTTCCAGTTTATTTATCACTCTGGAAATGTGAAGGTGAAGTTGAGCACATTTCATTGTGGGATACAATCTTGTTGCAGTTTACTCTGTTCTTTTATTTTGATGCAAATGTAGTATAGGTAATCTGGATATTATATGCATAGGAAATGTGCATACTGACAACAATACTGTTCAAAAGTTTGGGGTCGGTAAGATTTTGTAATGTTTTTGAAAGAAATCTCTTATATGCTCACCAAGGCTGGATTTATTTGATCAAATGCTGTAATATTGTGAAAGGTTGATGTCTTACGTTTTAATGTTAATATAAATTTTAAATATTGAGTTTTCAGCAGCCATTACTCCAGTCTTCAGTGTCACATGATCCTTTAGTAATCATTAATCATTCTATATGTGGATTCAGTGTCCAAGAAATATTTCTGATTATTATCAGTTGAAAAAAGTTTTTGCTGCTATACATCTATATATCGTTTTTGTTTACCCAGAATTATTGAATGAATAGAACGTTCAGAAGAACATTTACTTGAAATGGAAACCGAAATCTTTTGTTAACATAAATGTCTTTACTTTTTGACCAACTTAATGCACACTGGTTGAATAAATATATTAATCTATTTAAAAAATAATAAGTAACCATAAAATCATACTACCCAAACTTTTGAACTGTACTTGAGTTAGAATAGTAATATGCTCTGAACACAACCCATTGTGCTGCTTCAAGGTTGTTCAGACCTTTCTGCAGAGATTAGTTCTCGAACACTTTACAATAAGGTTCATTAGTTAACTACTTCAGCTTACTTTAACTACTAAGCATGAACAACCCTTCTACAGCATTTACTAATCTTAGCTATAATATTAATTTTAAGATTTACTAATGCATTATTAAAATCAAAAGTTGTGCTTGTTAACATTAGTTAATGCACTGAATTAACACGAAGATTAGATAGATTAAGATTAATACTGTAATAAATGTAACGTTCATTGCTTGTTCATGTTAGTTAATACATTAACCAATGGAACCTTATTGTAAAGTGTTACCGTTCTCTCTAACACACCTGAATCAAGAATTACCAGACAGGTGTTTGAAATGAAATGTTTGAAAGTGGTTTGAAATGAACTTAACAGGTCTCCAAGGAGCAGAACTGAACAACCCTGGACTGAAGCAAAGATTCACAAACATTAAATTCAAAATAAAAAACGACCTCAACACATTTGATTATGAACAACTGCCAAATATATAATTGTTGATGAAAGACTGCATCAGAATGCTTTTTAACTGATTTAGGTTACACATAAGCAACATTTCTTAAAAATACAATACATACTCAAAATAATATAGAAATGTTAAACAAAATATTAATAATAATAATAACATCTACATGTTATGGCAAAAGACAGAAGAGAATAACAACAGCATTTTCATCACTGAAATGTGGAACCAAAAAAACATTTCCCACTGATCAGAGATCAGTTTTGTGTATCAAAATCTTTGACCAAAATATAAGGGTATCACCACAATTAGTCTCTGATCAGTGTAGATGGCACTAAAATTACCTGTAAAGTCTGGCATAAATGAAGAAGTTCCTATATATTACAATATAAGCACACTTACAAGTTAAAAAATGATTTTCTGATTAGGGGCTATCAAATGCTCACTGAAAATCACATAGTATATTTCATTTACTTTTTTACAACACTTTTTCAAATGTCATCATTCCATGTTTCAAAACATCCACCTTATTTGTTGTTAACAAATGTGACTTAAGTTTTTTTCCTTATAGCACTTAATTTTGTAACAAAAGCAACATTGCTTAAGAAAAAGTAGACAAATGACGCATTATATATCAATCCAAGTCATAAGAGAGGTGCATATACATACATATACATTATATATATATATATATAAGAACAAAAATATGAGAATATGTATTAGTAACAGAAGCAGTAAAACAACATGAGAGGGCACAGCTGATTTAATCTCAATCATTAAAGACCCATGCTGCAAAAGTGAGAAACTCCATCCCTCTTTAATCATGCTCGCAGGCAGCGCCATCAACGACTGCTGCAGTGTGGGAAAGTCTTTCAAAAGAGTGACAGGAGCAGGTCTCAGAAGCAGCACCCTGGGCTGTTTCCATGATAAACCCACACAAACATTCATTCCCTGTCACAGTTGCAGCTGAAAGGTGCTCTTTATGGTTCGCAACGCTCCTCAAGTAGGGCAACGTGTTTGATAACGAAACTGTACCCTGCATTTCATTTTTTTGTCTTATCTTAGAGAAACCGACTCTCTTTCTTCTGAAGGGAAAAAAGCAAATAAAAAAAAGTGTACACTTACAAACTTGCAATGTATTCCTGATAACTGGATTTTTACAGAAGATATTTTTTTAAAAAAGGAAATAGAAATGAAAAGAGTGCCTGTGGTTTGTTCAGAGTCTCTGTCTCTTGAGGCACCAGAAGAGATCCGTTCAGCACGTATGTGTGAGAGCGATTATTCAGATTTGTGACAGTAAAGGTCCTTTAGAGCTTTGAGCTCCTCGATGAGCGTTTTGTTCTGATTCTCCAGCACGGCCACTCTGTTTTCCAGACATTTAACATACTCTTTCTTTTTCCTGCGGCACTCCCGTGCTGCCTCTCTGTGGTGGAAACATATTATTACAGTCAGGCGATTACAGAGGACACCACATGAGTCACTAAAAATGCCACATTTACTCCACATTTTAATGATTTTTTAAATGTGACAAAAATCAAAGGATTCTAGGTTGGAGTTCTAAGGGAGAACACGGTACAGTGGTGCTATACAGTCATAGTTACAAGAAAAAATATCTATAAGCAAGCATGGCACTAAAAAATCTCAGGCATTTTAATCAGGCTTGAAAACAATTTTTTCCCCCTCATTCAATATTATTATAGAATAACATTGCTAATAAAATACACAGCAGTCAATATTATTATAGAATAGGGCTGGGCGATATGGCCAAAGAAATTATCACGATAAAATCTATCATATCAGTCGATATCGATAATTATCAAGATCAATTTCAAATCATATTTCTTTCCAGTTTAAAGGCAGATTTTTGCTCCTAAATAAAAGTTGTAGAAACCAGACCATTAATTGTGGTTTTAAACGACCCTTTATGGCCAGAACATGACAAACACTTCACGTTTTTGAATTCTTTACACTTTTCCTGAACAAAATAAATGTAAATATAGAAAACTTTATTTCTTAGTATCTGCATGTTCTAATAAGTGATATTGTTTCAAATCATGAAACAGGTTTGTGTTCCTGACTTTGATGGTGTGTATCTTCAGCACAGTTTGCAGTGCAGGTTGCATATTAATAATATCATCCATTTTTGTCTCTTAGAAATGCACATTTGACAGTAGCTTGAGTTGACAGTAGTAGCAGCTTGAGTTAGGATGCAGATGCACATTTATGTTCATTATTAAAAACAGTACCATCTGTAAAAATTGTAACAAGCTCATTTTTATATGGTGAAATTTAATTATTCTGACTGAGTTTTATCAAAATGAACCAATGGTCTTCCATAACATACATTTAGATTAGGGCTGCACAATTAATCGAATGTCTAATCGCGATTACAATTACGGATGTCACAATTATGTAATCGTTCAAAGCGGCAATTAATCATTCAAAGTCCACTTATCTTGTTTTTTCTTTCTTTCTACAAGTTATCTTAAGGGTTTTTCCATTTTTTCAATTTTAGTTTTAATATGACATTGTAATACCATGCATATTTTACCTTTTTTTTATTTAAAGAAGAAACAAATCCAATGAATAGATGCCATTTGAGGCTTAACACAATAGAAAAGCAATAAAGGTTTTTCAGTTTGAGGGTTTTCAGCTTGTTTATTTTCATATAAAAAAATATGGCATGCGGTTGCTTCAAACAATGATATAACATCATTCAATGTAAATTGTGATAATCGTAATTAACAATCGCAATTATAATTTCAAGGGAATAATCGACAATTATGATTTTTGTCATAATCGTGCTGCACTAATTTAGATCATGATAACCACAGTTAAAACCACACATAGCCTATAGCACCTCAATACCATGGTAAAAATGTAACTATGGTTTCTAGGTATTTGTATGAAAAATACATTTAGTTTAAATGCACAAATGCTATAGCTTAATCACAAAAAATACTCTAATTACATTCCATTACTCCATTAATACATTTAATTCATGTCTACATTAATAATATAATAAAATTCCATATGAATATCCCACATTTCTGCCACAATACCATGGTGTAGTTAGTGTTACTACAGTAAATCCATGGTAAATGATGGTGATTTGTAGATTTAAAGTCTTCTGACTGTCTCATTGCTCACAGTGTTTCTTCTGTTTGACAGCACTGTTTCAACTGGCTTTAAACTAGTTTAAATCACAGAGACGTGTTCTTCGCTGAATTCAAGCGCTTCACACTGGATCTCACCGCACTGTTTAGTGTCGCGTGACACAGACTCATCAGTGAGTAATGCATCTGCTCTAGTGAGCTTGCGCTGCGCTGCCGTTTGAAATCTGAGCTGCGCGGATAAATAGAAACATTATAAATAAACATTTATTGAACTCTTCATATCGCTTTATCGAGGAAAAATTATCGCCCAGCCCTATTCTAGTATAACACTGCTAATAAATTACACAGCAATTTTTCTCGGATTTTACACAATTCACCTGGGTCATACTTTATAGTCCAAAATGAGCTAGTGCATTAATCATGCAAATATGTTTTTTTTTTTATATATATATATATATATATATATATATCATACCTGTTCTTCATTAGCCGAACCTCCCGCTTGCGTGTGACCTCCTCAGTTCCTCCCTGGCTGGGCAGTGCAGGTGAGGAGGCCATGACCACCCCTGGAGCAATGGTGCTAGCAGTTGTGGTGCGGATCTGATACGCCTGAACATCTCCTGAGGCCGCTGAAAAACACAAGCAACACAGATTTATGTTTTGACAAGGAGACATTTAGATGCCTTGTGTGGCTGCCTGCCAGATATAGATTAAGCCTAGCCTAGATTTAATCTACATGCCAGCACACTTACTTAATATTTTATTCAAGGTTTTAGGTACTTGTTTAGAACCGAAATGTCATTTATTTTGGTAAAATCTCACCTTGTACAACCACTTGATTACTGGGCACCAGTATCTGCTGGCCGTCGCTGGTCTGTGCATATTGCAGGATGGTGGTGCCGGTCTGAGCGCCTGCCGCGTTTGTCATAGTCAGGGTTTGTAGCCCTTGAACTCCATCTGTTCCATTATTGGCTAACTGGATCGCCCCACCCTGAGTGATAGCAACTGGGGGAAAACAAAAGCCATGAGGTTGACTGTATATTTAGCAAATTCAAAGTGTCAAGTTACTATTTCAAAAGTTGCAGTAGTGTATTTGTACTAGAGAAGCAAACAACTTACTGTACTGCCCACTACTTGTCTGGTAGATAGGTGTTGGCATGGTAACAGTTGTTATGGCTGGAGTGGAATCCTCCTCTGATATCTCTTCTTCTATCCGTGGGACTGCTGGGGCATCGAATGAAAGGTCGTTCAGGATCTTTCTGTGTTACAAAATGTCAAATCAAGCTTGTGAACATTTGTTAATGTTTGCTAATGAACTATAAGACGGATTTTAGGATTTCCATAAAGAATGTTGATCTGGACATAAATTCTTCAAAATACCTTCTTTTGTGTTCAGCACAAGAAAGAAATTAATACAGGTTTGGGACAACATGAGAGTGAGTAAATAACGACAGAATTTAAACTTTGGGGTGAAATATTCCTTTAATGACAAGCGGCAGCATGTTTAGTTCTATTAGTCTGCTGTGACTTTAAGAGCTGCACGCATCTGTTTTTCTCTCAACTGTTTACTTTCACTTTAGACATAATAACTAACTGTGTTTATCTGTCAACCTTGTGTGTTTTTGACAATATTAGCGCAATCAGACACGAAAGATAACTTAGTCCAGTAATCAGGCGCTGTTGGTGTACGCACTCAGAAAAGGTGCATGTCAGAACAGCATGCGAATGAAATGTTTAACCGGCGAGGCTTTCAAGCACATACAAATAATGTACTTTTGTGATTGCGAATAAGTGCAGTGTCCCATGAGTGTAACTCTACTGCTGAGTTAACATTTGATGTGAATGTACGTCGCGTTGTACAGTATATTGAGACGGAGTCGCCAGAACTGCAACTGTTGTGCACTGTAGCACAATACTGCGATATTTCTTCAAAAGCAGATCGTGGAGACATTTGAATCGTCCATGATCAAAAATTGTGATGTCGCACACCCCTATCTGCAGGATTTTTAATATCAAATTTAAGACTTTTTTAAGACCTGCACACATAAAATTAATACCATACGAGCAGGGTAGGGCAATGTCTATGGTAACACAGGCCACGTTCACACAGCAGCAGAATACAGTTGTCAGTCCTGTATTTGAGTCCTTAATACAGTTATGTTCACACACAGTACGGTTATTTTCAGGCGTGACAACCACATTTTGTAACCGAATTAACACCTGCAAATTTTCAGGACTCACAACCGCATTCTCGGAAAACACGCACTGTGTGAACGGAACCGCACTGGACAACTAGTTGTCTGTCGTCATTAGGGCTGGGCAAAAAAAATTATTTTTGAAAATTGATTTTCCGATTAATCATTTTTTTTAAATGACATCGATTCGATATCGATTCTGAAAAGCCGCGAATCGATCTTTCTAGTATTTATTTCAGCACACATTTAAAACAAGATCTGATTAACGTGAATCTTATCTTTAGTCTTCTCCACTAGATGTCACCCTTATTTACCTTGCGCGATGTTACAACAGAAATCCTGTCATTCATTCAGCGCTTATCATGGCCATACACGCAATTCGCAACGCTCAGGGGAAATGCTATAGTAATACTATAAATCTGCTGAATGAATGGCGGATGGTGAGGTGCACTTTTTTGTTTACTACACACATACTAAAGCGCGGATGACGCTCGCGGTGTTTTCAGCTTCTGCCATCTCATTATATGATGATATGAACACGAATGTCATCTCCAGCTGCTCTGACAGTCACTTCTTTAGCATTTACCGTTTCATTTGAGAAAACTACCGTCATATCACATACACAGCAGCTGCAAGTTCTTCACAGCAACCCGTCAAAATAAAAGTTTAGTTTAACGTTCTACTGTCAGAATATATTACTATTTAGCAGTCCTAAGACTCAACGCTACTACTGCTAATAAATATTAATAAATCTTTATTTTTAAAGGAATAATCACATCTGTTTTCTTTTTAATTTTAACAGTAAACCTCTGTTGTGCAGCACTTTGTTTGTCAAAAAATAAAAGGGTTTAATTTTAATTTGATTAGGATAAATTAAATTAATGTTTTATGCCTTCATCTGATTACCAGAAAAATTAAGAACATTTTATAGGGCCCTATTATTGTTTAAAAAAGGACCCTATACAAAAAAAAGAATAGGTTTAAAATACAGGCATGTGGTTCTTAATTTCTTTTTATTAATTCACCATTTGTAAACTGATGTTTACTGTTCATTTTTTTAGAAATAGCATTTGTATTACAACTATATTCACTGAATGTAATAAAAAAATTGAATCGAATCGAGAGCTTGCGAATCGAAAATCAAATCGAATCGGGACATCTGAATCGATACCCAGCCCTAGTCGTCATACAGTGCGAGAGAGAGCCGCTCTGCTGCACAAATGCGTGTCTATTGCGTGTTTTTATGTCTGGTTCCAGTGACTTCGTGTCGGCTTAGTGTATTAGCATTAGCTTCTTATCGATCCACCAGTTCACATTTGTGACTGCATGTTTGCTGCATAAAAACATGGGTCAGCTTTCGCTTTGGTCTGAACAAAAACAGTAAACAGGCTTACTGAAAAAGCCAATTTTGATACAAAACTTTGATACACCTAAATTCAAGACTTTTTAAGACCTGCGGAAACCCTGATTTACTTTTACCTGGTCTTTAAAGTGGTCTCAACCCTCTTTTTGTGATAGTGTCTCAGTCCTCATTATATTCATAAAGGTGTTTTAGGAAGCCAAACTATTTGAATAATATAATATAACATAAGCATTATTATATAATAAAATAATAATAATAAGAGAGTTTAATAATAGGTAAAGGGATAGTTCACCCAATAATAAAAATTGTCATAATTGACTCACCCTCAAGTAGTTTCTTTATACTGTTGAAAACAAAAGAAGATCTATAGTATTTTTTTGTCCATACTATGGAAGCCAATAGCTACCAGCAACTTTTTGGTTACCAACATTCTTCAAAATATCCTTTTTTGCATTCAACAGAAAAAATAAATTCATAAAGGTTTTGAACAACTTGAGAGTGAGTGATGCATGTTAAACTCGCAGTGTATGTAACGATAAAGCTTGCTGCATTCACTGCGAATCAAGATGCTCTTAATATGCTGGACAAACCGGATAGTGAGCTACTCACATGAATATTAGGGATGTAATGATAATACCGCGAGCTGGTTGAAAATCGATTCAAATATGTGACAATTCAAATCGGTTGAGATGCTAAACAAATCGCGATTCATTTAGGGGTAGGAGTTTATATGAATGCATGTCTGAGGGGAACTTACTGTCTTTAGAAAAGTTTAGATGGTATTTTTTGGTACTTTGTTTACAGTGGAAACCAAGGAAATGCTTTAAGCTCCCCCTGCTGGCAGAGAATTAATCTGCATCTCATTCAACTCGTCCGCTCTGTTAAAAACCATTCTGTTTTTGCTTCAAATTTCGAAATTATACAATCTAATTTAGATTAAAAACTTCTCATGTTGCATGTATGCAGCATCTTTGTTTGGATTATGATTAAAATGCAGTGGTTGCCTCTAATTTTAAATGGAAAGAGCACAGACAAAGCCTTAGTTTGTTTATATGAAGAGATTTATTTTATTTGTGTTACTTATGTATTTGATTTGGGGCTCGTTTTAAAATTTCAATGTAGTTTTGTTATTTACATTTACATTATATTTAAATTTTGTCATTTAGCAGAAGCTTTTATCCAAAGCGACTTACAAATGAGGACAATAGAAGCAATCAAAACCAACAAAAGAGCAGTAATATACAAGTGCTATATTAGTATATTATTATAGTGTTATATTTCAATTTCACAAAGAAATGTGCAGCATTTTGTCCAAGCAATAATAAAAGGACACATTTAATTTATAATTTGTCTTAAATCTCATTTTGTAAAAAAAATTAAATCAAAATCGTGAATCGAATCGTGAAATCAAAATCGTGAATCGAATCAAATCGTGAGTTGAGTGAATCGTTACTGTGACGAGGATTTTATTTTGTGTTTTGGTTTCGTTTGTGCGCGGCAGTCGTCTGCGAGGGGCTGTCGCGCTATTTTGTGTTTATTTTATTATTAAAGTTTTCTTTGAATGTTCGCCGGTTCCCGCCTCCTTCTTCCCGTGACTACAACCATTTGTTACATTGGTGCCGAAACCCGGGAGGAAGGAGGGGCACGCTGCCAGAGATCCCTCGCTGCTGGGGTGAGTCCGCGGTGTACAAACGTTACAGTTACATCCCTAATGAATATAGTGCTGCACTTTGCTTTAAAACACAACTTGCACAACTTGCAGCCGTTTGTGATTTAATAAGTGCACAAAGCCATAGTACGGTTTCGATTCTAGATCAACTGACAGATGCTTCGCCAAAGCAATGGTGCAAAACACAACATTCAATGAGCTCTTTTAAAGTCATTAAAGGGGTCATATGATGCGATTTCAAGTTTTCCTTTCTCTTTGGAGTGTTACAAGCTGATTATGCATAGATAAGATCCCTGAAGTTGCAAAGACTAAAGTCTCAAAACCAAAGAGATATTCTTTATCAAAGTTAAGACTCTGCCACGGTTAGACTTAGAACTCGTGCTCAACAAACCATGACTACATTTGCCGCCTTTTTTTTACTTCCGTATACAGCTGTCACTCAGATTTGAGCTTAGGTTTTTAAGGATTTATGGATGTAAATTAGTTAAAGAAAACACTTAAGCAGGGCGCCATCAAAATTACTTCATTTTGTGAAGTGCCTATTTATGGCTATTTAAGGTAAAGCACAACAATAAATACAAGTGCTTGCATTTCCAGGCGTGTTTCGACATGTAAAATAGTGTTCCAGGTTGAATGAAGCAAGCACGCAACACAAAATTAGTGTTATAGTGTCATTTGAGGAAATTAATACTCAAGAGCATTACATTTTCTCTTATTTTATTACCAATTAAAACCACAAATGATTACAGAGGATAATTGTTTTAGTGGTACAGAAGACTTATGCATGGGAGAGATTGCAGTAAAGATTTGTAATGTAACGGAGCGCTTCGACTGCTCCATAAAGCAATGCTGGAGCCAAGAAAAAAAGAATAATTTCGTGTGCTGTAGTATTTCCATAAAAAGGTGCCACGGACGGGCGATCGCATTCATAACACTACACATCTCTTATCCTTTCCATAAACACTTTGTAGAACCGTCGCGCTTTCCTCATTCGACTGCCTGACTGAC